CTTCAATTTTAACCTCATCGGTCCACAGAACTTGTTTCCAAAATGCATCAGGCTTGTCTATATGTTCATTTGCAAAGTTCAAATTATGATTTTTGTGGTGAGGACGTAGAAGAGGTTTTCTTCTGATGACTCTTCCATGAAGACCATATTTGTACAAGTATCTCCTTATAGTGGAATAGTGACCACAACTCCAGTGTCTGCCAGATCTTTCTGGAGGGATCGTGCAGTCAAACGTGGGTTTTGAATTGTTTTTCTCACAATCCTGCTAGCTGTTCTGTCTGATATTTTTCTTGGTCTTCCAGATCTTGCTTTAACTTCCACTGTTCCTGATGACTGCCATTTCTTAATTACATTCCGAACAGAGGATATTGACATCTGAAAACGCTTTGCTATCTTCTTATAGCCTTCTCCAGCTTTGTGAGCGTCAACTATTTTCAGTTTCAGTTTTCTAGACAACTGCTTAGAAGAACCCATGGTGCTGATTGTTGGGGCAAGGTCAGATGAGTCTGGGCATTTAAAACCTTTGAGATTGACATCACCTGGTCTTCCCAGACGATGATTGAGAACAATCCATGACACTGGCAGGTCTCAGCTTTGCAAAGGGGGCAGTGCATGCTATAAATTCTGCAGGGTGCCCAAACTTTTGCAGACGCCATTTTTTTGTTTTCTGATATTTTGAAAGTGTAAATGATGGAAATAAAATCTAACTTTTGTTGACATATTATAAGAATGTCTAATCTGTAATTTGATGCCTTTTGGAGATTTTTCCATCTTTCCTTGGCTTCTTTATGCACATTAATACAAAATTTTTAGCTGGGGTGCCCAAACTTTCGATCCCCACTGTATATATATAAATATACACATACAAATATTTCTTTTCATTTCTACTTTATGGGTTGTTTTACAAAGCGAGGGTTCACATATACTTTAATTTACCCCAAATAACTTCCCATTTTATCCTTAGCTATTTTATTGCTGACTCCCCCCCCTGCCATCTCTATACTTTTAATCAATACAAATGTAAACTCTGGCATTTATTCCTTTTAGCTTTGCTAAAAGTGCAAATTTGAAAAGGAGGGGAGAGAGGCGAGAGGAGAGTTCCCCCCTCAAAAACAAAACACAATTTTATTCCATTTGTACATAGCTTTGCTATGTTTTGTACCAGAACTATGATTTTACTGTAAATTTTAAACAGGACAAAATGGAGATTTAAATTAGCGGTGCACCAAAATGAAAATTCAAATGCCGAAACCAATACCAAAGATTCAGAATGCAGGTGGTCAAAAACCGAAATGTCTGCGTATGTGGGGAGGCTCCAATTTTTTTTTTCTACGTGTGTGTGTGTATATATTTTTAAAAATAGTTTTCATATATTTTGTAATATTTAAAAACACATTTCAACATGCAAACATCAGATTTGATTTCAGTATGGTATTCCAATGATGGGGTGCTATGCCTCCCACTGACACCAATGACGGGGCACTATTCCTCCCACCGACACCAATGACGGGGCACTATTCCTCCCACCGACACCAATGACGGGGCACTATTCCTCCCACCGACACCAATGACGGGGCACTATTCCTCCCACCGACACCAATGACGGGGCACTATTCCTCCCACCGACACCAATGACGGGGCACTATTCCTCCCACCGACACCAATGACGGGGCACTATTCCTCCCACCGACACCAATGACGGGGCACTATTCCTCCCACCGACACCAATGACGGGGCACTATTCCTCCCACCGACACCAATGACGGGGCACTATCCCTCCCACCGACACCAATGACGGGGCACTATTCCTCCCACCGAAACCAATGATGGAGCACTATTCCCCCCACCGACACCAATGACGGGGCACTATTCCCCCCACAGAAACCAATGATGGAGCACTATTCCTCCCACTGATACCAATGATGGGGCACTATTCCCCCCACTGACACCAATGATGGGACACTATTCCTCCCACTGATACCAATGATGGAGCACTATTCCTCCCACTGAAACCAATGATGGAGCACTATTCCTCCCACTGACACCAATGATGGGGCACTATTCCTCCCACTGATACCAATAATGGGACACTATTCCTCCCACTGACACCAATGATGGGACACTATTCCTCCCACTGACACCAATGATGGGACACTATTCCTCCCACAGAAACCAATGATGGAGCACTATTCCTCCCACTGACACCAATGATGGGACACTATTCCTCCCACTGATACCAATGATGGGGCACTATTCCCCCCACTGACACCAATGATGGAGCACTATTCCTCCCACTGATACCAATAATGGGACACTATTCCTCCCACTGACACCAATGATGGGACACTATTCCTCCCACTGACACCAATGATGGGACACTATTCCTCCCACAGAAACCAATGATGGGACACTATTCCTCCCACAGAAACCAATGACAACGCCCCCCTAAAAAGTGACGCCCTGACGGATTGGAAGTGGCAGAACACAGTATACCGGCGTATAAGACGACCCCCGACTTTTTGAGATTTTCATGGGGTAAAAAGTTGTCTTATACGCCGGAAAATACGATATATATATATATATATATATATATTTTTTTTTTAATTGAAATCTATTGGATATGGCCAAAATAGTAGAATTTTAAATATATGGCAATATATTTGGGAAGATTTTATATATATATTATATAGGGACCAATAGTCCCTTATGTGATAGCATATGAGTGACAGGTCCTCTTTGTAGGGGGCGGTGGGAGGGGGGCAGTGTGTGCAAGGATTGGGCAGGAGAGGAGCAGTGTATACAGAGAGGCTCCCTCACTGGCTGTCACTATGGGATTTACTAAAGCTGGAGTGTGCAAAACCAGGCTCACTTCTGCCTAGAAACCAATCAGCTGCCGGGTTTTAGTGGCAAAGATTAATTGAACAAGCTGAGGTCAGAAGCTGATTGGTTTCTAGGCAGAAGTGAGCCTGGTTTTGCACACTCCAGCTTTAGTAAATAAACCCCCTATACATCAGTGCCGGTTTTTAAATGCAGTTGCTGGTTTTTTTATTATTTTTCACCTAGCTCGGGAAAGAAACTAAAAAGAAATGGTTTCTTTTAGCTCTGGGAAAGTGACAGCGGATTCTCTGAGTTATAGTGAAGAAAAAAAAAAACAAACAAAACCAGCAATTGCATTTAAAAACCAGCACTGATATATAGTGACAGTCAGTTACTGTGCACACTGCCCCTCTCCTGCCTTTCTCAGCTGTTCCCCCTCACATCTGCAGTACACACAGTCCCCTGTATCGGCACCTGCATCGGCTAAATTTTTCCTATCGGCAAAATGCCGATAGAGCTATTTTTCAGCCGATATGTTTTGGTGGGCGAAATTTTGGTGCATCCCAAATTTAAATGTAAACTTTGAAGAAAAAAAAAAAAAATATGTTTTTATTTTGTTTGGGTATTTTTTAACCACTGTTTAACCATTAGCCGCCCGGCCTATAGCCGTTTGGCGGCCTCAAAAACGCTTTAGCTTTCTGGGTGCACGCCATTTGGCGTGCTCCCGCACATGCGCGGTTGCAGAGCCGCGCAGCGGCGCGATTGTCACGGACACGGCCGATGACAGATCTGAGTACCGGTCCCCGTTGCCGGTACCATGTGACCTGCTGTGACCAATCACAGCAGGTCACATGACAGTTGTATACAATGGATGGCTTCATTCATGCCATCCATTGTATACTACTGCCTAGCTGTGAATAGTCACAACAGGTCACATGCACATGTCATGTGATTAGCTGTGGCCAAATCACAGCTAAGCACACACAAAAAAAAAAAAAAAAAAAAAAACCTGAATGAATCGATGTCATTCAGGTAAATGCTTGCTTATAGTAAGTAATTCTTTGCTATAAGCAATTTGTGTTGTAAAAAAAAAAAAAAAAAAAATACTGATCACTTCCCCAAAGTAGTACAATGTTACTATGGTAACATTGTACTACTTTGGTCATAGTAAAATATGAAAAAAAAATTCTTAAAAAAAAATAAAATGTAATAAAAAATTAAAAATAATAAAAAAAAAAATATATATATATATAGATTTTTTTTTCATACTGTCACCAGTGTCCCTGTTCACCGCCATGCCAGTTATATGACGACGCTGTACTGCACTGGTGACAGTATGTAAAAAAAAAAAAAAAAAAGTGAAATTTTTTTTAATTTTTTAATTTTCTGAAAAATGACAAAAAAAATACAACTTCAAAAAACTCGCCATGCCTCTTATGAAGTACGCCAGACTGTCTACTCTGCAAAAAGGGGTAATTTGGGGGATATCTGTACCGTCCTGACATTTGGGGGATATCTGTACCGTCCTGACATTTGGGGGGGATATCTGTACCGTCCTGACATTTGGGGGGATATCTGTCTGTACCGTCCTGACATTTGGGGGGATATCTGTACCGTCCTGACATTTGGGGGGATATCTGTACCGTCCTGACATTTGGGGGGATATCTGTACCGTCCTGACATTTGGGGGGATATCTGTACCGTCCTGACATTTGGGGGATATCTGTACCGTCCTGACATTTGGGGGATATCTGTAACGCCCTGACATTTGGGGGATATCTGTACCATCCTGACATTCTTGGACCTCAAGAAATTAGATTGGCTGTCAGTACTTCAGGATTGATCAATATTCAGATCTATACCATAGTTTGTGAACTCTATAACTTTCCTACAAAAATAATACATCCTAATTTGGGTTATTTTCACCAAAGACATGTAGCAGAATACATCTCGGTCTAAATTTATGAAAGAACAATTATTTATTTGTAACCTTTATTTTAAACAGAAAAAAAAGGAAAAAACGTGTTTTTTTTTCCAAAGTTTTTGGTCTTTTTTTGTTAATTTAGCAAAAAATAAAAAACCTCAGCGGTGATTAAATACCACCAAAACAAAGCTCTAGTTGTGTGAAGAAAATGATAAAATTTTAGTTTGGGTACAGTGTAGTATGACCGCGCAATTGTCATTCAAAGTGTGAGAGCGCTGAAACGTGAAAACTGGCCTGGGCAGGAAGGTGTAAAATTGCCCGGTATGGAAATGGTTAAAGTAAAAAAAAAAAAAATAAAGGAGAAAGGCGGCTGGACAAATGAGATGAGATGGATGAGATTACTCACCTTGCAGTTCTTCCACCAGTATTTTCGCTTTAGCCTGGCTGCGCTGGTCTCAAACTGTGAAGCTCCAGCTTGAAGCGCATCGGCGCGATCATCCCAAGTCAGCCAACTTCTGATCCCGCTCCAGGACTTTGTCCACATTGACTCGCATAATATCCACAACCTGAAAAATATAAAAAAGGGGGAAAAAAAAAAAAAAAAAAACATCTGAATTCAGGTATGATCTGTATTGATTGCATAGTTTACATGGACCAATGTAGGTAGTGATCCGTACAATCGCTGGTATATTCTGCACTGCTATAGTGATCGCTGCAATCTTCCCGATCCTGCGCAATGACGTCACAAGCTCTACCCTTATTTATAGAAAGCCTGGTATTTAACCACTTCCGTCCGGCCGTTGTATATAAACAGCCGGACGGTGGCAGTGCAGGGTCAGGTGGCCGTTTATAAACAACCTCCCCGCCCCCTGCTTTTGTGCGCGCTCCGTGGGAGCACGCAGAACCGCGATTCGGTGCCCGCTGTGTCCTCCCGGACAAAGTGGAACACCGATCATCGATGGGACCTCTGTGCGAGGTCCCCGATCATGTGATCACCGATTGGCCAATCAGTGATCACATGAAGAGTAGTAAGCAAGATGTCACTTCTGACATCCTTGCTTACTACGTGTGAAATCTGTGAATGATCACAGAGATCACATGGTACAGGGCTATTCACAACAGCCTTGTACCATGTGACAAGCTGTGACCAATCACAGCTCACACAGTATTTCTCAATGGCTGCAAGAATGCAGCCAGAGAGAAGGAGAAATGATTGCTTTTACAGCCTTTATGGGTGTAAAAGCAATCAGTGTAAAAAAAAAAAAAAATCTTCATCACCCCCCCCACAAGTAGTACAGTGTCACCCACATTTTTTAATTGCCAGGCACTGCCGACAATTCTTTTTACATTCAGCTGTCAGTGGGGAACCTCGCTATAATAATGTTTTCACTACTAAAATACTTCATAATATAACTCAGGCCGGATTTTAGTAACTGAGCGGCACTCGAATGCGGTAAGATACCACTTAGTGAATTGTCCCTGTTTGAAATTCAGGTCGAACGTTCTGTAGGTTCGAATATTCGACCGCGAATCAAACAGGGGGGTGTCCGCCCCATCACTAGTTATGACATATCTGCCACATCAAAGCGCTCAGTTATTCAGGAGACCTCCTCTATGGCATTTGAATAGCTCTGCCCAGTAAAAATCGCTATAAAACGTGGCGCAGGATTCTTGAAGAGAAGAGTCGATGGCTACCATGGCGACATGTTAGTCGTTTCCTCCAAATTTCTGAATGAAAATATCTGAAAAAATCTGCCGTCCTTCCAAATCCATACAAATCAGCAGAAAGCCCAGCAGGAGAGGTGTAATTGGTTTCAAGAAATAGATGGACTCCTCGAACGTCGGGACACTTTGGGGTTTTGGATTCATCTTAAATGATACCGGAGGGGAATAAAAGAGGACAAAAAGGACAGATAAAATATAGCGCCGGAAAACCGATTCTCTGCGTGAATGTTATAACCGACCTCTGGTCGAATTATCCGGGATAAATAAAGCATTTGTTCAGAAATAGGACTGCGACGGTCACCGCGGTGCGGCTTGCAGCGTGATGATGTCCACAGTCGCTCAACAAAGCGATCAGCTGAACGAAATAATAAAAAACACCAAAACCCACGTCAGTGTTTAACCCTTCCCTGGCATCGGATCCGACCGCTCAGGAAATTCATGGATGTGCAGGAGAGGGCGAAGAGAAAGGACATCGCCGAGAGAAATGTATACCTAGTACACACCATCAGATAACTCCGACGGCTTAGGCTCCATTCACATCTGAGCGTTGCGGCTTTTTTTTTGCACATATTTTACTGTGATTTTTGCGCGATTATACAGCGATTTTAGCCAATTTTTGAACTTTGGCATTTTTTTTTTATTAGCCTAGCAACACATGATATTTTTCTCTTTTTTTTTTTTTTTAGATTTTCCATCAACTTTTTAGTTTTTTCCTCATTCTTAATTATTTATTATTTTGTTTTGTTAGGGTAAGGGTTTAGAGTTAGGGCTAGGTTTAGGATTAGGGTTAGTATTTATTTTATTATTTATAGTCTTTCGGGTTTTTTTTTTTTTTTTTTTATGGGTATTTTATTTATTATTTTTTATTATATATTTTTTTTTGTTAGGGTGATAATAAAAATAAAAAATAAACACCTAAACCAGAACAAAGAAAAACCTAGCAACAGATGCTATTTATCTCTTTTTTTTTTTTTTTAGATTTTCCATCAGCTTTTAGTTTTTTTTTATAGCTTAATATTTACAGCTTAATATTTATTATTTTGCTTTTTTTGTTAGGGTAATGGGTTTGGTTTAGTATTTTTATATTTTTTTTTTTCATTATTTTTCTTATGGAATTTTATTTTATTATTATATTTTTTTTTTTGTTAGGGTGATAATAAAAATAAAAAATAAACACCTAAACCAGAACAAAGAAAAACCTAGCAACAGATATTTTTTCTCTTTTTTTTTATTTTTTTTTTTTTAGATTTTCCACCAGCTTTTATTTATTTTTTTCATTATTCTTAATATTTATTATTTCGTTTTTTGTTAGGGTTAGGTTAGAGTTAAGGTTAGGGTTAGGACTAAAGTTTGGGTTAGTATTTTATTTATTATTCATTTATAGTTTTTTTTTATTATTTTCTTTAGAAATTTATTTTATTATTTTTTATTATATATTTTTTTTGTTAGGGTGATAATAAAAATAAAAAATAAACACCTAAACCAGAACAAAGAAAAACCTAGCAACAGATGCTATTTATCTCTGGTTTGTTTTTTTAGATTTTCCATCAGCTTTTAGTTTTTTTTATAGCTTAATATTTACAGCTTAATTTTTTTATTATTTTGCTTTTTGTTAGGGTAATGGTTTTGGGTTAGTATTTTATTTTTTTTTTTTTTTCCATTATTTTCTTATGGAATTTTATTTTATTATTTTTTTATTAAATATTTTTTTTTGTTTAGGGTGATAATAAAAATAAAAAATAAACACCCTAAACCAGAACAAAGAAAAACCTAGCAACAGATATTTTTCTCTTTTTTTTTTATTTTATTTTTTTTTTAGATTTTCCACCAGCTTTTTAGTTTTTTTCATTATTCTTAATATTTATTTATTTCGTTTTTTGTTTAGGGTAAGAGGTTAGAGTTAAGGTTAGGTTTAGGACTAAGGTTTGGGTTAGTATTTTATTTATTATTCATTTTATAGTTTTTTTTTTTTTTTTTTATTATTTTTCTTATAGAATTTTATTTTATTATTTTTCTTATTATATATTTTTTTTGTTAGGGTGATAATAAAAATAAAAAAAAATAAACACCTAAACCAGAACAAAGAAAAACCTAGCAACAGATGCTATTTATTTATAGATTTTTTTTTTCATTATTTTCTTATGGAATTTTATTTTTTATTTTTTTTATTATATATTTTTTTTGTTAGGGTGATAATAAAAATAAAAAATAAACACCTAAACCAGAACAAAGAAAAAACCTAGCAACAGATATTTTTCTCTTTTTTTTTTTTTTTTTTTTTTTTAGATTTTTCCACCAGCTTTTAGTTTTTTTCATTATTCTTAATATTTTATTATTTCGTTTTTTGTTAGGGTAAGGTTAGAGTTATTTTTAGGTTTAGGACTAAGGTTTGGGTTAGTATTTTATTTATTATTCATTTATAGTTTTTTTTTATTATTTTCTTATGGAATTTTATTTTATTATTTTCTTATTATATATTTTTTTTGTTAGGGTGATAATAAAAATATTTTTCTCTGTTTTTTTCTTTTTTAGATTTTCTCATTGTTCTTAAAATTTATTATTATTTAGTTTTTTATTAGGGTAAGAGGTTAGAGTTAAGGTAAGGTTTAGAATTAGGGTTTGGGTTAGTACTTTATTATCTATAGTTTTTTTTTTTTATTATTATTTTTCTTATGGTATTTTATTATATATTTTTTTTTGCTAGGGTGATAAAAATAAAAAATAAACACCTAAACCAGAACAAAAAAAAAAGAAATACAATAACGGGAGTACAGCGAGCGCTCAAAATCAGAATAAATACAATGAAAAAATGAATACAAGGTAATGACGATAATCAATAAAACAGCTGCATATGTACCGACGTAGGAAAACTAAAAACCTAGTAAAAACCAAATCAATAAAGTGCAGCACTGCACTTTATTGATAAAAAAAAAAAAAAAAAACCCAAAAAAACAACCAATATTAATAATAATAAATGTGGCGGCACAGTGGCTTAGTGGTTAGCACGTCTGCCTTGCAGTAAATGGGTCATGGGTTCGATTCCTGACCATGGTGCCTCATGCATGGAGTTTGCATGTTCTCCCTGTGCCTGCGTGGGTTTCCTCCGGGTACTCCAGTTTCCTCCCACACTCCAAAGACACGCTGGTAGGTTAATTGGCTCCTGTCTAAGTTGTCCTAGTTTCATCCCTGGCCATGTGGGATCTCCTGCATGGTGGGATTGGGGAAAGACCCGGCAACCTACCCTGTAAAAAGAATTCATGGAAAAAGTCGCTTACGAGTGACGGTCCATGCACTCACCAAGGGTCGGATACGACTGAATGGATGGATAGATAGAATAAATGTAAAAATACAAATAATCATAAATACTTGTAATAATAAATTACTCATAACTGTAATCCCCTAAAACCTAAAAAAAGTAAAACAATAATACCAATAAATTATTATTATTATTAATGTATTTTTTGTTCGGGGTGTTCATAATTATTATTAATAATGTCTCAATTTTTTTTTTTTTTTAAGGTTAGGGGTTGTATATCATGATTTTTTATTTATATGTGTATTTATTTCATTTATCCATATATTACTATTTTTTTCCCCCATTTCTTCATTTCAGCAGAAAATCGTGCCAATCGGGAATTAAAACGCGCCAAAAATGTGCAAATCTGCCCAATTCGACCTACGAAAGTAGCTCCAAAACTTTGAGCTTCAGGCGACTTGGAGTGGAGATGTGAACCCTCTGCATAGAGCAATAGTAAAAAAAAAAAAAAAAAAAAAAAAAAAAAAAAATAAACAAAAAGCTTGCGCTGTTATCGTACGAGA